GGAATATCACTCGCTCTCATGAGCAATTGGTAATACCCATCGACCAAGTCGAGTGCACAGTACTTAGTACTTTCAACCATGTTGTTAAGGAGAATATCCTTTTTGGGAATCAGCGTCTGCGCCGGAATGGTGGCAGCGTATAGCTTATTTTAAGCATCTTGCTAAGAAGTAAAATGTTTGAGTCCCAGTGTGGTCCGAATGCTGGCGAGGAAGGGTGTACGGGATACGTGTCGTGTTTTTAGCGTACAAATACATCACAGTTTTGTACAAAGCTCCGAGGTACCAAAAAAATTATTTCGATGATGATGAAAGAACGCGTGCGCTGTAAGCCTAATGTCATGAAATTTATGAAAATTTAGTAAAACGGATATAAGTTTGAGTCAGACTTTATTTAAAAAAATTCGAAAGATGATATTAAAGCTTATTAAATTTACGAAGATGATAGCTTCCTCCTGCCTCCAAACAAGCTAAAGAATATACTTTTCTCGCAACCTAAATTGAAATTCGCATGTAGTACCACATCTTCATGGGTTCGAATTACGACAAATGAGACCACGTCGTTTAGTAGTCAGTCTTTCACTTCCGCACCATCGCGGTTGAATGGTCAAACCCAAATTTGCCGCCACTGTCTTGGTCAAACCGACAATTCAGCCCATGTAGTGCTTCTGCACCTCAAAGGTATTCATTCGGAATCTCAAAACTTTTAAGATTGTACCATAACTTCAATTATATGATTACACTCGTCCTTCACCCACATTGTGTAGGTGAATTTGATCTTGCCGACGTAAGAAAATCACGACGCTGTTTCCGCTGTCCTCCAGAGTATTTACGCGGCAAATTGCCACTTCGCCACTTGCCATTACGTTGAAAGCTATTTACATAATAGGGGGGTCGAAAAGAAGGCGTATTGCCTTGAGTATAGCCCATAATCTCAAGATCGCGAGTGTACTGCGCGCGTTCGAGCTCAGCTTTGCCACGACCTTCGCGAAACACAAAGTCCGGCAGCTCATCCCAATTCAAGATTAAAGCGTCAGCAGTCATATCTGGCTGTTTATCCTCCATTTGCTGCAAATCAGTTGCCAAAAAGAACCGAATTGTTTGCTCAAGAGTTTTCTTGACTTCAGGATCATCTTTAGGCTGAACACTTTTGTGCTGGCGACAATGAAATTCAATTCCAATAAACATGCAAGAACCGGGGCCTGTGCAATCACGACCACAAATTTGGGGGAAATAGCATGGATATGCATGCACGCGAGAGACTGGTGCCATGTGATACAAATTGTCGACAAGCTTTCGTAGTCGAGACTGAACAAATTTTCCCCATTTGAGCATTGCGCCTTCCGATTCGGCATTAAAATTGAAAACCATGTACGAATTGTATCGGAGAAAAAAATTCGACGACTGAAATAGTTGACCCCATGCACTGATGTCGTCACCCTCATCCGCATGTACAGCGTCCAACTCTTTTTCTTTCATATCAACCGTATTAAAGGGTACAGAGGTCGTTCTACAGACCATAGCAGCCTTAGCTATCTCGCCTTCTAGATTTTCAGACGACGAAGAAGTCGTCGGAAAAGGCTTGGAAATACCTACCGCAATTTCAGCTAAATATCGCGCGCGCCATAACTCCTCGTAAATCACTAAAAATGTAGATTGGGAGACCTGAACCGAAGAATTCATATGCGGATATGCTGGTGTAATAATTGGCATTACATGTGATCGATCATACACATTTTGACGAGGATCCCACATGTCAAATCCAAGTGCTGCATCGTAAATCATATTCAACATCACAGGCTGAGGCCATTGCCACTCCGATAACACTTGAAAAAAACGAACAAAAATTTTTCCAGGTTCGGCATTTGGGTATAATTGACACACAAAAGCGACTAATATTGCCCAACTGATGCCACCTAAATAGCCCAACTTGGCTGAATAGATACCACGACGACGTGCCCATGCACGTACAGAGCGTAAGACAATACGATATTCTCGACGCTTTGGTACCAAGCACAGCAGCATTGAGCTTACACGTGGAGCATTTAAAGCCTTCATTGACGTTTCCTGCACCCCAATTAACATGTGATCAGAATCAATATTTTGGTTCGCTTCAACGCTTGACACTGGCAACCTTGCGAACAAAAGATCCATACGCACTCCGGAGAATGATAATGAAATGAGTGGCATGTAGGCATTTGGAAGTGGAGAAAGTTGGGAAATGCCTGGAGTTTGTTCTAACAACCGACAAAACGAGGTGAAAAAATCGTCGTGAGTTACATGCCACGGCGCAACGCAAACTGCATCTATGTCTGAGTTTGGGTCATCCAACCCAAGACGATACGATCCTGCAAGAAAAAGAGATCCTTTAGTCAATGCAATATGCGCTTCATTTAGTTCACGCTCACGTCCGACCATTTTAACCCACATAGTAAGCAAATCCGATAACTGCTTCAATACGCGCAATTTGTGCATGCGAGCTTCAGGAATGTCGATTGGTGAAATGTGATTCACATAAGCTTCGAATGACTGTAACGTTTTCTCATCCATTGTTGGCTGCATTGGACTCTCCACGACACAACCAACAGCTGGGATCAAGTGACACTTGTGATACAACACATCACGTGCTTCGTCGAGATTTCCTTCGCAAATACTTGATAACAAATTTTGTTGCAACGAGGCGGAAATGACTCCACGTTGAGCAGCTTGTTGTACTAACCAAGTCAAAGCATTGGACTCTTCGTACTCTCGGCTTGCCGTAAATTCAATTGAAAGTTCATTAATATGATCAAGAAGGAGATATGCTTCTTCGTCTTCTTCATCCCAACTGGAAAGGACATGTAAAAGCTCACTTTCTTCGTCACCAGCCTCCATTTCGTACACGTCACTGAGACGATGTGAGCCAAAATGAGATTGAGGACTGTGGTGAGGACTTGGACACGATGACTCTGCAGTTGACTCACTATTTGTATCGTCGCAATCCAAAAAGTCGTCGTCGCTGTCGAACACCTTTTGCGACAGCGGTGTGCTCTTCACAGAGCATTCAACAGCCAGGTCGTGAGAAAGCTGAGAAAGCTCACTTTCGTGTGAGCAAGCAGAATTATAGCCAGTAGACGACTGACAGGACACTGGTACACGACTACAATATTTCATTGTCTGAGTGGAGCTACTACCACATGACGAATCAGAAGAGACCTCAAGGGTATTATTATCATGAGCGACATCTAACGACACTGAGGCTTTCTGTGTATCAGTTGGCATATCACAAAAGGTCAGACAGTCACTTCCGTGATTTGTCTCCTTGTCTTTATCCGACGGCGAAGACACATAACATTTCGATGTTGATCGACTTGATTGTTGATGCTCCTCGAGACATGCTGAAGAACAAAGTAACAAATGTTCATGTTCACATGATTCATCCAAAGGCGTCAATTTCTTCCCTGAGTCTTGATTCAGCGAATTATTACGATCAATAACATGCTCTTCTTCAGTGTGTCTTTGATGTGCTTGAAGCACTTCGCAGCGTTTTTTAAAGCTTGGACTTTCAACAATCTTCGTAATAGAGCGCGAGCGAATAAGTCGTGGACCAAAACCCTGTTTCTTTTCAAGTTTCGTGTCAACCAAATGTTCCGTGTGACCTGAAAATGATGCAGGCATCGACGTTTGCGAAGACCCAAGCACAGCGTCTTTAAACGAGAATTTACGGTTGACAATAGATGTCGAAACTCGCTGTTTTCTACTCTCACCCTGTACCATCATTTTGCTAGTCACTTAGGACTTGAAAGTTCCAGACTGAGACTTTTTTACGTTAAACTGAACGACGTATTATAACGCCGTAGCCGTTACTGCGACGCAAAAACACACACCTTTGTGATGACAACCCTAACACGTCACCAAAATGAAATGATGACGCACTCACCGTTCTCTTATGAAGTTTGAAAAGAACAGACCGAGTCCAAAGATGACTAGGGAGGGAATGAAGCTAAAGCGAGAAAGAAACGCCGCTGCTTCAACTGGGAGTCTGTGGTTGACGTAGAGGAATCGAGTTTGGGCACTTTGCGTCAGACGCACGAGATTATGAGACCCAGAAAAGTGACAGATTCTGGCAAAAGGACAGATTATGTGACGTGATGGCACTATTTAGAGAGCTTTACGGGTTGTGGTATGTAGAGGGATGACCTAATACTCGCATATACTTATTTGTATAACGCCTCGCCGAGATGTACAACCCCAGAATTGTCTTATGATGGCTTCAGTGCGCATGTCTCGGTTTTCATGCTGTGGGTTATGCCATCGCCTACAATGATATGAATCGACAGGGAAATTTGGATGCTCTTGACTTGTGTCACGATAGTTAATGAAAATATACGGCACTTGAGCTTTTCATATGCTCGTGCATTACGAAAACAGACACGGCTGCTGACCATATACTTAAAAATCTTATACCTTCACAATCCGTACCCAGTGCTTGCACGGCGGGATCCCAGGATCAAGTTGTGCCTTATGATCGAACGCTGTTCGGCAAGCCGTATACATTTATGAATTTCAATCTTTTTGTTACAGTGACCTTTAAATGAAAGACACTTTTTTTGTCAACATGTACACGTAAGGACGAGCTGCGCTTTCATCTTCGTACCCTTGTAATGTCTGCTCACAAGATCATTCAATAACTCCTAAGTCGCTACACAATTACAATCTTCCTCAAAAATCTTACAACGAAACATTCATTAAAATTTTCAGAAAATAGAGTGGTGGTGCAGACAGTTGCTGCTGCTTAACAGCGAGAGGTGATTGCGTCAAATCCACTGGTGGTGATGTATTCGAATCTCTGTGCAATTTGTTGTTAGGATAACCCAAAGACGACTTGTTTTCTGGCCAATTAGCATCTTGTAATAGGACACTACATTGCGAGACTTATTATTAGAAAATACACTGCGTTGAAGAAGTTCGTCTTAATCTTATAGTTTTAATAGTCATCATAACCATAACAGGATTTAGGCATCAAACCAGTAATTAGTACAATCTAGTTTATAGAAGCTTTTTGGCATCTTATAATCCAGCAGTTCGTTCCTACAACGGCTATAGGGATAAAACTGGTCTTTATAGGGACATCAAACCTACTAAAAGAAAATTCTGAAAACTTCTGTCAGCATAAGTTCGTATTACAAATATACCCAACCAAGTGTAACGCATAAACGGCATTTTCATTGGTCCAAAGGCATGGCTACACTAAATACAGGAGGTCATCTCACTGGCCAAAAGGTGGGACTTTACTGCGGGTCTAACATTGGTCAATATATGCAAGTACAATCATTCATTATACGTATTTTGGGCAATCCCAAAGTCGTATCTATAGCGACTGATGGCATCAAACTCGCGTAGCCAATCTGTAGTCTGTCCGTGACAATTCTACCGTCACGATTCGAGTGAGCTGTATGGTGTTACGGGCTGAGACTGTATTATTATTTTCATAATGCATGAGATTCACAAAGGCTTCATTATTACTTTGTTATACTACCATAATGATTCTCAATTTATTTACTGATTCATATAGAGTAAGACATGGTTTCCATGACATATATTCTATTCAATCCGGATCTAATGCTTCCCAGGTGTATCTTAACATAAGCAAAAGAAGAGTTTCTATGTAACATCGCGCTTTTGGATGCATTCTAATGACAAAAGGCCGTTCGTGCTATATATCCTAGATACTGATTCCTGGCTCAAGTGGTTCTTAGCTTGGCCTGGGACCAGGAGACACCTGTTCGATGCCCTTAGAATCGAAATCAAGGACGCCGGAGATAGGTCACTAAGGTGGACGAGCAATCACACCCCTGTGGTGTTACCACCCTGCCAACCCGCACCCAATTGGGTGTGTAATAGTTGGGTGGGAGTAGGCCCTATTTTTACGGATGACCACCGAAGTGGTTCATTTAGGAGGAGGCCCTACTGACCGAAGAAGCCCCACAGCGTAATGAGGGGTACGGAACCCGGTCCCAAAATGAGTCGGATAGCTACCATCATCCCGCGTTAGAAAAAGCTTAAACCTAGTGTGAGTGTTCCGGTAGCTTAAATCTCTATATACCCTAGATTAACTTGAAATCTATCGAGACTTGCCTGGCACATGATCTCCTATCATTTTGCAAGCATAATGGGCTCCTGTATATAGAAGAATAAGCTGTTAAGTAGAGATTTAGATGATTGGACCATCTTATAAGCCTTGATTTATTCCGAAAGCGTTCTGTCAAAAAGACAAACGGCAAAGGTACATTCATTGCTTCCTTATGCTAGAATAACTTACTGAAATTTTTATGATAAGTGAAGTCTGCGACACTGCATCCAAGTACATTGATATCGGCGCAAGCTGAACAGGTGGTGGACTGAACTCACACAATATCATCTGCCCCTCGCAGCATTGGAATGCGTAGCATCAATTAACTCCATATTTAAGGATATAGCCCATAATTATCGCTGAAATGTTTGCGATGTGACAGAGTTTGCTAAAAGGCTATTTGCTACCCGCTTCATTTATGACTCAAACCAAACACTATCCTGCATCATTCTGCTTTGCACACGCATGCATCCTTCCTCAGAAATATATTGCACTCGAAGCAAACACTCATCATTTAGATTCTATGATTACAGTGAAATATCAAGCGTTGTGAATAAGTTAAGTTCGGCAGCGGTAAATTTGATCAATTCCAAAATGTACTCCTCATTGAACTGACAAACCTTACGCACCTCAGTCAGAAGGAGCAATTTCAGACAGCGAAGGCGCGATAGAGGGCAAGGCTTATGCAAGCAGGATGAGGCACACAGACATTGATAGTACGCGCTTAACATTACGATTCTCACCAAAACCATTCAATCATGATAGACAACATCAGTCTACTTGGTAGTAGAATAGCGAATGACACAGATTGGACTTATAATACACTTACCGAAACGCGGGAAGAGCTTAGCTCGTGATACACAAGGGTGTAAATCTGACATTTTTACTGAAGCTTTGACGTCCAGTGCATGCTAACTTTACTGCTGACCATGCTCACTCTGTCACCTATGCATTTGGAATATAGCTTCTTGTAGCGCCTCGGGGACCATCTATAGACATAAAGCAACGCTTGGAGCGTCCAATTTTCACAATGTTATTTTGGGCTTCAGAAATGTGAAAATAGGCAGAGAATCTTGCGCGTGCGCCACTATGGCGTAAGAATAAATTCTAGATTGCCTGGTCAGTTTTCTTGGTATCACGTATCATTTTAATGATTCACATTATCGAAGATTACGTTTCCTAGATCAGCAATTTGAGGTCAAAACTCTGATGATAAGCAGCTATCGTTGTCATTGTCAAAGTGCATGTTGTTGATCCATTGGAAGCAAGGCTGCTTCGATTTAAGGTTCGTCCTTCTCCCGTCGACCCGCATGAGTGAGAGGTCATCTCGTGCAAACGTCCTTGGCTCGATCGATATAGCGATCTTTAGAGGACAACTTGGGAGCTGGCTCTGTGCGTGATGTGGCGGTCAGCCTTTCCAGATAATAGAAAGTGGCGAAGTCAATATTTGCGGTAGGGGTGGTTGTCAAGGAAGCATCTTTCGCTGTCAATTTGTAGAAGTGTGTGGTCCAAAGTTTCTATCCAGGCATGATGAATTTGAACCAGCGCCGGTATGCAGTTTGGAAACGCTATAATCAACTAACTCTTCACAATTACATAACATCCAATCATCGCGGGAATGGGTCCTTCGACTTTAAGCAAGGCTGCACCGATGAGCGTACCATATTTTGATGGACGTACATACTTTGCTTACGCGCAAAGCTCAGGAGTACATAGTATTTATCAAAATCGAAGGGTTCCCGCAAACGGAGACCGCCGTGCACATGCGGACTGTTAGCCCCACGTCATACAAAAATTATCATTAAACGTAGAAAAAAGATAAATCTATTACAATTTGAGCCAACTACGTATGCCACGCTGAGAGAATACAGCACGGAACTAAGCCGAAATTTTCTCAAGAAGCTCTCATATTTGCTCTCAGGTGGGGCGTACAAACTTATCGTTTTGTTTGCTACGCGATCTCAATAAATCAAAGTTTTAAATGTGCGAATTGCACTACAACGCCGTTGCACTTAAAGCATTTGTTATTAGTTTGACGATCGGATCTGAATCCACTGTATTTGAGCAAAGATGGAACACGGGTTGCTCCGTTAGGACAGCTAGACACGCTTATCAGACTCATTTCTGTCGTTTAATTTGCAGAATTAAGGCGGTTTGGCGGCCCAAGGGTCAGAGGCGGTAATTGCTCGTCCTGAAGCTTTCATCAGCAGTGATTGTGGTTGTGAACTTGCTTCAAGATCGATCAATTTTGTAGAGGGTGAAAATGCAACCGGCTCACACCGTAAGCTCCCAAATATCAAGCATCTAGTCCATTGAGGACAGGAACGTGTTAAACTCCAGCTCTGGGAAAGCGAAGCTAAATTGTCCTTGAATTCGGCCATAGTCCAGACGGAGCAAAAGCAGGGTAAGCTAGCGGTCTCAAGCTACTAGACCGCACGCTAGAATGGGAAATAATAGGTAGTACCTGGCCGACGAGGCTATCCCGACGTAAAAGTGTTGGAGTGACATATGTCGCTGGTGTTCGCATCACCTTACCAAGCATACAATGTGCGACCTAAATTCTTGTGCATTGGCAAAATCTAGCTGACTACGCGCAAGAAATGCAAATTATCATGGCCATAATAGGATCAAACCTCTTCCGGAGGCGAAAACACATACTATTTCCATATATGTTTTCGATACGATGTGACATGGATTGCAACCTCCCACACCCACCCAACTTCGTTTGAGTATGCGTTTAGAGTTACACTTAATGCAAAAATTCTCCTCGTGTCGAGAATTCTGATTGGTGTATGAAGGTGGAATTCCAACAAGCGCATCAACGGTGATAGAGGGAAAGACATATTAGCTTCGAGCAATAACGGCAAACATCTGCGTCCTGCGTGCCCTTCTTTCCTAGTAAGGGATGCGAAGGGTCGATATTCCACGCAGAATCATTCGACGAGATTTTGCGGGAAACACCGAGTTCCAGCAGGCTGCCTTCGCCCGGGTAAGACACGGGAATAGAATGAGGCAGACAACACCGATCGTTTATCGCGGTGTCCGAAGAGTATGTTAGGAATGGAGCGATAGTATATTGTGTTACCTTTTCCTTGTTGCGAATGTAAGCAAATGTCTTCGTGCTAGAGCTTAAGGGGTAAGAGTGAGGTGGCTATGTGCCGCGGTATCGTGTGTCAGGGCGGATGACAGTAAGTCGCAAGTAAAAAGGCCAACGCTGAAGCAAGTGAGGATGGTCTATTGTTTTTACGATGTGACGGGACCGCTGAGTCAGCACCGTGTGGCGCGCCAACCTTGGTAATGGCGAAAACGTTTGTTACTAATATCTGTTAAAAACGAGGCCGTCCTAGGGAATTTAAAACTCTTTTTACTACCCCCGGCATAAGCAAACATTGGACTGGATTTATATACCTAGTAGTAGTATGCGAGGAATTGCAAGACGGTGTACTTAGAAGGGATCTAAGCCTATCATCCATCATTAAAGGTTTCAATATTATAGACATCTACAATTCGCTAGGTTTCAGGGGCAGAACGGCTATCCTCAAGTGTTTCACTAATCTTTTAATCCTACGTTAATGAGTTTTTACGACGTAGTGACGAGAGACCTACCACGGATGTTACACCCCTATTATAAGCGCAATAATGTTCACTTGTTTCCCGACACCAAACATTGCGCAGATGACAATGGTCCGATCAATTAAACAGTGTTATGTTATCGACGCGTCCGGCTGTGCGAAGCGCGAAGCGTGTTTGGTGTGAGAGTGGATATTCCCTCATTTGTGAGGAAGAAACTCATAACGAGCGGTGTATTTTGCATTCATCATTGCGTGTGTCCCTCACGAATATGAGATAAATCATCACTTGGAGCTAGGTGACTGCCAGAGAGTTTTAACTGGTTGGCGCCATTGCCACGAAGCGGATCTATTGGTAGAAAGTGAACCGACACCGACCCTGTGCAATGGAGCTGTCGCAGGCCTTGCACAAAGGATATTTAGCTCAAAGAGCCTACGTTGACATACGCACAAAAGATGGGCTTGTAAACTTCACCCAGAAGCTAAACCGAGAGACCTTGTAAAAAAATTGTGCTTCGTCCTGCTCGTTAATGTTGAAAGTCATGAAAGTCATAAGTATACAGAGGTAAGTCAAACGACTCTAATTTAGCGTAACATAGAGTTATATGTATTGCATGACGAGAGGGTAACAGCTGACGCGTCCCACGGATCTATCCCTAACGAAGTATAATCGTACTCGCCTAACCAACAATTTGAAACCTCTGAGATTTGCCTAGAATTGTAATGTGTACGTGCGCCAGCACAGGGTTTAGGGTCCATTTCACCCTCCTTCTCCAGAATATATTCTATACTGAGGCTTACACTTACTTTGTCCAGTAGAGCACTGCGCAGAAATTATCTCTCAACAGACATCCACTGCGCAGAAAGTCCAATCCGATTTCTCGAATTTTATAGCGCCTGCCGTACGACCCTTATTCACACCGATTTTTTGAGTTTAACGAGTTTCTGAGAACAATATCTGTCCTTGCAATCGTGCAGTTCTGGTTAAGGACGACCCTGGCGCGACTGGCTAACATCAGCTCTCTCGGATATGATGATACGGCGACTCTTGTCGAGAGTCTCGGCACCAATATGAGTTGCGTATCAGATACACTATTTGACAGTATCTTACGAATTGACCCAGACAGTCCATGCGATTCAGATTATAACTGTGCTAGTACCGGATAATTATGGCGCGACTTCATCTTCAACAGATCCCTCACATCTGATGAGATCGTATGAGTTGAACGTAGTGTGACTTTAACAAACTAGTGTGGAACGCAAGTAATGTTGGCTTTCTTTTTTGGATATAACGCGTGTAGTCCAATCTCATTTTGACTAAGACCGTCAAACGGTTTAATTAAGTGGCGTCGCAATTATATCGCGACACAGCATGTTTGAGTAGGTGAAGCGCTTCCAGCGAATCATCCCACTATATTCATGCGAATTCCATCTGCCTGTAGCATTGAATTGCTATTGTGCATCCTCGTTTTAAGCCTTGCAGCTACTCGATCGGCGTATCGCGCTCAAGCTCGTCGATGTGAAGCTTGCTATTTCGCAGCGAAATGCAGTCGAGCTGGTTTCAGCAAGTCAAAAATCTCTACCTCACAAATGCCGGGAGCCATGTCATAAGAATACAATGAGCGAGTGCATTTCACTCTAGCATCGCGGTCTATTCACGCAATTGCTTCGATAGATACTCATCAAAACGCGAATACCGCCTTCTGTCTGATCATCATCGTTTGGATTGTCAGCGGTGGACAATCCTAATCCAATTCTTGGTACTTTAGATAAATTTGATAAATTTTGCTGTAAAGCGTAGACATCGACCCAAACCAATGACTACCGGCAAGCCATGTTGGCCAAAATTATTTTTCGAGAAACGGCTTCATTGCATTTCTCACCGAATACAGATAAGCCATATTGCTCAGAAGCCCCCCACAGCCCATAATACTGGTACTAGCGGACAAATGAAGGTAAAACATGAGCTGCCAGCATTCTGCAAGAAACCGACAGGATGTCAAGGGCGCTGACGGATGCAGCGCGAATCTAACGTGTTGACAGTTTTGCATGTGCGCCAACATGTTGCAACACCATTACACAGCTCTCACCGAGTCATGAATATTTTTCGCTTCCAAGTTGGTCACCTTGAGGGGGCTGTGTGCCCCCTATGATTTTCTGTATTCGCTCCTCGTTATGAGGTACCATCTTTCGTTGAGTGTCAAGTGGGTCAGTGCGTAAATGCTGCAATACTTGGAATACGAAAAACGGTGTAAGCACGCAATCAATCGCTTCAATTATGGGGTTTCCGAAAAAATGCTTCGCGAAGCTTCCAGCAGCAAAACGTGTGCAGTATCTGGCCTGTGCTGTTTGAGTATCGCTCCATCAATCCGAGACGTCACCATCGTGACATGCGACGCAAAGTGCAACTGCTACCACATAATGCCGACCGATTTAATGCTTTTCTCAAACGTTTACCTGGAAAAAGGAATGGCCATGTTGCCATTCTATGTGAAAGAGGTGACATCGATTTCGTTTTGGACAGTAACGCATGATTTGTTTGGGTTACAGATTGCTCAAAGCCAAGCAGGTAAATCTGGACCTTGACTAGAGCATACTTTATCGCGAGCAGTTCCATGTCATGAACGAGAAGTATCTCTATGCTTTAAACTGGCGAGGCCTTAACGCGATAGCGCTCTCGGCCCAATGTCATCTGTTTGGAGTAGAGCACAACCTATGGTAAAGTATGAAGCGTCACATACGACATGTATTAGCCGATCCGAATGCGGAATGACCGGATTCAATGTTTTCTGGAAGGCTCAGTTACCGCCTATCTGCGTATCCTCTGGACAATGTGACATTCTTTTAAATTTGTTGGTCAGAAGCCATGTCATGTCTGCATAGTTTGCACAACATCTGAGCAAGTCTATAGCCAGCCCAAGCCACTTCTACTTGTACCTCTGGGACGGAGGAGCTGATTAAACTATAATAATTTTCATGTTTTCTCATGAAAAAGCACATAAAGGGGATCTCGTCGGTGCCAAAGACAAAGGCTCAAATATTTGTAGGATCCTTGAGGATAGTGGCCCCACTCGCACTCATTGTCAACAATATAGAACTCAAACACGACGGGTGGTCAGCCCAGCTTATTATACGGTACCGAGAGTATCGTGCATGGTGAGCTTAGACAAAACACTTCAGGATCGATATGAGCTTTTGTCAGCGGTAAAACGGAAAGACTTGGAATTACTAGAATAACCAGTCACTCCTCTCCTGATTGAATTACCGTTCTCGCTACAAACTTCATTGCTCCACACGCCCGTGCCGACTTAAAATTGCAGTCATGACGTAGAAAAGATGGACCATCGTTTTTTTACCCCTAATACTTGCGACTTACAATCTCCTGATCTAGCAATTGAATGCGACACAAAGTCACTATTACACCCCCACTCTGGTACGTGAGACCGCTAAACATAATTGCCCTTACTCGTCTTCACCAGCTTTTGTGCTCGAAGCCGCAAGCTGTACCTTGTATTAACGATTCTAGCACAGAAGTTATAATCTTACACACGCATCAAACATCTTAGCAAAAGTTAAATTTTGGGAATCACGTTATACCGTCACTAATTTCCTTCGCAGCAGGAACATACCCGGACACTGCAATATGCAATCTGTGTTGTCTGCTCCATCTTATGATGCGGCTCACTACCGCTTCTTCGTTCCTTTAGCACTCAGCAATATCGTTGCTGATCAATTTTACACTAACATGTCATTCACCAAAGCTATTGCCGCCTCGTAATCGCGCCATAAATGACTCTGCTTTCTTAAAAGTTGGGTTCATTACCATGATGGAACTGCGTAGTAGCTTAAGTTTGCAACTTTTAGTCGATGTATGGCTCATGGCGTTCAATCCATTTCGATGCTGGGATGCAATCAAGTTCCAAAATCATACTTAGAGCGCGACGACGTTCCATGCTATCAAAAATCGATACTTTCACAAGGAGATCCAAAAGAACCTTCGGCACTTGCCGTTATTGTAAGATGCATCGATATCGTATTTGTGTTTAGATAACGCCTCCCCATAACTGTCTACTATTTTCTACCAAGCATCGAACGTGATTGTACGATGCCCCAATATACATCAGCATATCTTGCGACTTTAGAAAGCCTGGAAGACTGATCTTGGCAGCCAACGAACCTTGCTGTAAGGCCCACTTTCTTAAAAAACGTCTCTCATTTCAAGGCGGGACCGTTTCGATCATAACTTCTACGTGATGCAATTGGAGCCAGTTCGTTCCCAGTAAGTGAAGGGCGCCCTGCTGAGATTCGACGTTCCCGCAAACGATCTTGCGATCCGCGGGTGCACGATGCCTGCAGCGGGGCTGCCGTGGCTCTTGTTAGTGGAATGGTAGAGCGCTCGCTTAGCATGCGAGAGGTACAGGGATCGATACCTTGCTTCTAACTCGGGCAGTGTTAGGGTTTATCTTGGTAGATCGCGCTGCAACTTACCCTAGTTAGAGAAACCCACCATCAAAGAATGATATTTTCGTGTTTTCATTTGTTTTAAAGTCAAATTCTAAGCATAATGATAACTCACCTAATTTTCGACATTATAGTAAGGGTATCTCTCACTCAGCTATATGCCCATTTATTAAAGCTCACGATGTCTCGATCATGTAAAAGACTTCTTCTTTCTTTTTTCTCCATTATAAGCTGCAAGCTATAGGAGGTAAGGGTGTAGCTAGGCTACAACATGGATCAATGCCTCAGTGTGAAAATCACTAGCTGAGGGACGAATGATTAAATTTCGTTGTTTTTAATATTGGGAAATGTATGATGTTTCACGTGAAGTTTCTATTCTTCTCACATATGTTGGTAAACAATGTTGAATTGACCCTACCCTTCTACTCGCGACATTTTTTCTTAAATTTTGCTAGTACGACTCTCACAAAGAGCTCATGATACAATCTCTTCAGGATCATGGTACCAAGTCCGAGAAGAATTTCAGAAGCGCCACTCTCGCTGGACGGCCTAGTCTGAGTAGTAACGAGTCGAGTTCTTTCCCTTATAGAGGCAAAACTGTGAATATTAGCTTAAAGTACATTTTGAATGAGTGCATGAAGACTGTCCGGATAGTACATGAAGTAATGTCGCTACATCGCCTATGTGACAACCTTTGCTTGCTGATGACTTTTAATCACCTCTGCATAGTTGATTCAAGCTTTCCACCAACAAGTCTTTATTGTAGAATATTTAGAACTGGATACTCGATCTGCTAGCTCAGCTCTGCTTCGTTACGATTTTCAGCGCAATGGCTACACAAACATACCCATAGAAAGCTTATGTTAAAATCCTTCTCATTGAACATGATTGTGCAAGGTCCTGGATTTTCGTTGTAGCGGGACTCGATTATACACAACGGTCGAAACTGGTTTGTAAGATTGTGCTAGTAATACATACGAACATGGCTTTCTTGTGCCTTGGTCAAATCTTCGTGTGTAATGCCAACAAAGTAAAGCAAATCCTCGTTGAAAGCCTTTGTAACAAGCGTCAACAATTAAGGACAGGTTTTTCTTTCTGCATGCAAGGTCCACCGGCGCCGAGTCTTTCTTTAAAAGTAATACCTGACCACTTCAGTCCCTTCTCGCTAGAAATCATTTCTCGACTGTCACGCTCATTTACACCCGACATGCGTTCAGCAATGCGCTCTACAAACACTATACAAAAGGCAGCAAGTACCACCATGTCTCTTTCATGGCTCCGACAGCATGCGCGCCACCGAAATCGCGGAACAATTCGACTACGTTGCAGCAAGAAGCGCTTTACTGCACAGCGTGCTCAAAGCAACCTTGATGGGATTGAAACGTATGTGCCACGGGTTACATACGACAATTCGTTCGTTGTTGACAGTAGCGTCACGTTTCAAGACGCAAAGTGGGTGAGCGATGATCAATATATACGCCAATATCACCGTCTTGGCTGGGAGGTGGTACCAATACGCAAAGACGGTAATTGTCTCTTTAGAGCACTAAGCAATCAGCTTTATGGTCATGAACGTCGTCACTTGGAACTACGTCGTCGTCTAGTTGACTTTATTGACCTCAAACGTGCCTTTTTCGAGCCGTTTGTGACAAAAGAGGGAGTCGTCAAGTATTGTGCACGACTCCGTGAAGCAGGAGCATCAGGTGGTCATCTAGAACTTATTGCAGCATCTAAATTATTGGGTATCAAAATTATTGTACATACTGGTCCCGTCATGCGCCTTCAATTTGACTGTGATGAATCTGCGGAAGGACGAGAAGGGAAGGGCCAGACAGTCAATTTATTACTCAGACATGACCACTACAGTAGTCTTCGTAAGAAAGAGAGTTCACACGAACAATTACATGGATGCTCTGAAACGTGTCTATGTAAAAGAATTGTTATGCCGTCTCGAGCTTCGCTTGAAGCTCGTGCGTCTTTGAATGAATGTCCGTCGAATCACGGCTTGATCTCTAGCAATCGTAATCTGGACATGACTCAACGAAATTCGGTGAAAGGGCGACCACCTGACATTGCTGCAGTACAGCGTGGTCGACTTAAAGGGGCGTACGGTCGCAAACCTGTACCAGACGCTCCCAACAGCAGTAGCAGCAGCTTAAAATCACAGCAATCAGAAATTCTTATCAAACCAAAGTCACGTCCACCACCTCCACAAAATACCAAGCCTCCGGCTCCAGAACCACCATCTTCACTTGTAGCAGTTGAGCCAACGCCATTGCCTACTCCATCAGCTCAAGCAAAGAGTCAAGCACCGATAAAAGCAGCAAAACAAAAGATTGCTTTATCATCGTCCCGCTCAGCTCCACGTATACTGCAGAAAAGCCCTGGTGTGGTGCTATTTCAGCCAGAATCTCTTAAATCCACTGTAGAAGTGAAAACTCCGTTAGTGGTACTTTTCGAACCTGATCAGTCCTCATCTAAACTCGCTTCATCAAAGAAATTGACTGCGACGCCGGAGAATTTTACAGCTATAGCGGCAAAAGAGAACAAAGCAGGGATAATCTCGAGGAGACACGATACTGTATCACCCAATACTATCCGTCGACCGCGCCGTGCGGTATTTAATGGTGGCAAACGTCGCCGTTCCAGTGTGGCTGCGCTTACATTGCGCCAAGAGGTGTCAGTGAGTTTAAGTGTCAGCGCTACTGAAGTCACAACTGAGCCCTATATTAAGCCGGTGGATGCAGTGGTCGAGCCGGTCGTTGCATCGGTCGAGCCTGAGTCTGAGGTGTCGATAATAAATCATATCAAGGCAGCTAAGCCAACCATCCCCACAGCGCACGTGGTAATCAAAAAGTCGAGTAAGAAGGTGTTTCGTCAAGGACGCCCTGTACCCGCTGCGTGTTAGCACTGAATTCCAGGTTCATAAGAAATACTGATGAATACGAAAATATAGGGTGCTACTAAAGTGCTCGAATGAAGAGACCTAGCAGATAATCCATTTTCGGTAATAAAATATAATTGTAAATGTGCACTACCTCGAAACGTTTCGCGAAGGAATATTGCAATGAGCGAAAAGGATAACCACTCTGAGATTAATCGTGACAACACTGTAGTAGACTTCATGGCACGACTACAACTCTAGAAATTATCGCTGGATTTACGTTGGTTGAGCACCAACTTGACAGAGATAGAAATTCAATTTCTACTGATAGTTCAGGGTGCAAAATTGACGGAAAAAAACATCGTTTGTCATTCAGAAACGGAGCCAAGTAATTAAGCAGATTCAAGCTCTTCGATATAAGCTTCACTCCCTTCGTTTTTCAGGCAAGGACCTCCCGAGACCATCGAGAGATTACAAAAGCTTAATCAGTTACTCAAAAGAAATCTCTCCGATCGGTGCGAGAGCTTTTCGGACAGTCGAGTTCAGGAGCTTATATCCACACTGACTTTGTTTACACGAAAGCTTGTCCAGACAGAGCATGATGTGGAAAAAATGGATCAAACATTGAAATTAAAGACTCCAGAGCTCGTATTTTGACTTTACACTACAGCCAATGTTTGCACGTGAATGTGTAGCTGAGACTGATACTGGTATGCCTAGCAAAGCTTATGCAGCGGCAGCTGCTGCATCAGGGAGACTTTGTATGGCAAAAATCGACTTGAGCTCGCTCGGGTCCGTAAAAATGAGGTCGGTTTCTACTTCTTGGTCGAAAATGATGCTGCTCGACGAATTGTAGTCTTTGCTCATGTAATTCAAGCTCGCGACGCGCTTGCTTGAGAAATGAATCCACTTTTGGATGCTGCCGACCGCGAATAAATCGATTACAATACTCGATTCCACGAATTAGACACTGAGATGTGACGCAAACTCAACGAAATCAAGACCTCCGTACATTTGATCTACAATGACTCAGCCCGCGCAGTTCTGGAATTGGATAAGCAGCAATACTTGATCACGGCATAACGAGCGCAAGCACGTTTGGATAATAGTAGGCCTTCAAAGCTTACATGACGGCTTTACTACAGAATAATGCAAGTGATCGAACAAGCAAAATTTCTTCGACAATGGCAAATGGGTAAGCGCAAGTTCAATATCAACTTCAAACGCTGACTACGGACGACACTAGAGTCTCACCACTTTCTCTGGAACATGGCACCTTGACACTACCGTCAGATCCATGCCAAAAGCTGCATCTTCTTCGCCGGCTTTGACGGATTTATCAAATTGCCAGCTCAAACTCTATTACCAGCGCTTAACAGTTGGCATCACCACCGTCATCAGTTCTTCTAGCCACACCAGGCTCCTAGTCGATCAGCTGATCAATCTATAGAACAAGCTAAGAATGGTGTTCGAGTAACCAAAAGTAAAAATGCAGCCAGAGAAGAATGGCGAGACGATGAAGAGGAAGAATGAATTCATACACACGACAAACTTAAGCGCTCTGCAATACGCCACGCCGTTGGCTTTTGCATGAAGATTGATACAAAATGTCAAGGGCGTGGTGTCAGCATTTAAAGCTGGCAAGGAGTGCATCAAATGAGCAAAACCCACACAGTCAGTATAACTATCTTACAGTCTTTGCTTACTACCTTTCTTGTCAGTTATACTTTTAGCACGAGTAGTCACAAGCTGTGAAAAGACACTTCATTACCAACACAATTGTGAAGCTAATAAATTATTGCTATGTCTCGACTTCAACGTACTAGTTCTGTCTCCAGTAATGGTGCAGAGCTTCATGCTGGTGGCGAAGGAGCTGAGATTGCAACTAAGAGTCGTGAAGTTATTGATGGACTCAAAAAACTCTACTCAACAAAACTCAAGTCACTAGAAAAGCGCTATGACTTCGGAGACTTCCACTCACCGCTACTGAGTGACGCTGACTTTGAAGCAAAGCCACAAGTTCTCATGATTGGACAGTACTCTGTTGGCAAGACTTCATTTATTGAGTATCTTCTCGGCAGACCCTTTCCTGGCCAACGAGTTGGACCAGAACCCACAACAGATCGCTTTGTCGCTGTAATGCACGAAGATGAGGAACGTACGATCCCTGGTAATGCAGCTTGTGTGTCACCAGATCTGCCATTTGGTGGGTTATCCATGTTTGGCACCGCTTTTCTTAATAAATTTGAAGTTGCACAGCTTCCTGCTCCCTTGCTCGAACAATTAACAATTGTGGACACACCTGGAATTTTAAGCGGTGAAAAGCAACGTATTTCTCGTGGTTATGACTTTACGCAAGTAGCGCGTTGGTTTGCTGAGCGATCCGATCTCATTCTCTTGCTCTTTGATGCGCATAAACTTGATATTTCAGATGAATTTCAGCGTGTAATTGAAGTATTGCAAGGCCATAGTGATAAGGTGCGCTGTGTGTTAAACAAGGCCGATCAAGTCGACCAGCAACGTCTACTTCGCGTTTATGGCGCTTTGATGTGGTCTTTGGGTAAGGTGCTTAAAACCCCAGAGGTTATGCGTGTGTATCTTGGCTCATTTTGGGCTCAACCACGTCAAAAACATGGTGACGATGGTAGCGGTAGCACTCCAGAAGCTCTTTTTGATGCTGAAGAGCGTGACTTGCTAGATGAATTGCGAGCTTTGCCACAGCATGCTGCTGTTCGTAAGGTTAATGAATTGGTCAAGCGGGCACGACTTGTTAAGGTTCATGCCTGTATTTTAGGCCACCTACGCGATAAAATGCCAGCAGTTTTTGGAATGGAGAAGAAACAGCGCGAATTGCTCGATAATATGGCTGAGAATTTCCGTGAAGTGCAGCGTAAATACCACTTACCACCAGGAGATTTCCCACCAATTGACATGTTTGTACGTCAATGTGCGGACCGCAAATTTACGAAATTCCCTTCTTTGAAAACACGTGAGCTACAGGATATTGACGATATGCTGACAAAAGATATTCCTGCTTTGATGGCATCATTGCCTAAGCATTCTCGCGTCGGTGTTGCTGGTGTGGAGAATGTTCCTGGTGCAAACACATTGAGTAATAATCCATTTGCGACCATAGTGGCTGTCGGAAGAAAAGAGTGGGAAGAGGTATTTCAGGGGCGCAAGGCAGAATATGACGCTATTTTTGCTACGCTGTCATTAAATGCTAATGGACGAGCCTCTGGTGTATGTTGCATGGCACCGCTGCAGCAACAGGCCTCGGCAATAGTTTCACAAGAAACACTACGAAGCATTTGGGATCTCGCTGATCAGTCAAAGACAGGAAGTCTGGATGCCGATCAATTTGCTGTGGCCATGCATCTATGCAAACTAGCTAAACAGGGTGAAGTAGTACCATCAGAGCTTCCGGAATCACTTGTGCCACCAAATGATAAAGACCTGCCGCAATTTGGATCACCTCTTCAAGCTAGCGCACTTCGCCGACCTGCACATGTTTAATAATATTTGAGTTTGAAATATGGCAATCAGATAACGTAAATTTTGTATGATCGACGATCTCATGATTACTATTTTTAAGCTTTTATTAATTATATCGTTTTAAGAAGGTTTTAGTTTATTATAATACGTCACTAAATCTAGATTCTAAATACTGACGTAGCAGTCATAGACCACCCATTGCTACCCATTTCTCCGTGTGGATAGATAATATGGTCAAGAACAGCAACAGAGCGCGTAAAAGTAGCAATGTGAGCACACTGGTGCGTGCTGAAGATGCTGCTGAAGAAGAAATTCTTGAAACACCAGCATTAAGTTCCTTTAGCTCCGTGGTAAACGACCGTAAGACGGAGGAGAGTGAGGACGAAGATGATGAGGCTAAAATTGAGCGCCGTCTGGTAGCCGAGGCACAGGCTGAAGCTGACAGCTCAAACCATGAGAGCAATAAGATTTACAACAACGAGGCTCTTTTAGCGTTGGTTAAGGACTGGGATGCTAAACCACTGCCGTGGGTGGAGACACTAGAAACTTGTGCTGTCCCACTAGAGCTCGAGAGCGTTCACGACGATTTAAAGCGTGAAGTAGCTTTTTATAACAACACGGTGTCTAGTGTACGGTTGGCCAAGGAACGGCTTTTGAAGGAAGGGGTGGCGTATAAGCGGCCTGACGACTACTTTGCTGAGATGCTTAAGAGCGACACGCACATGGCAAAGATTAAAGATAAATTAATTTACGAGCAGAAGAAAATTACAGCTGTAGAAGAGCGGAAGAAGTCACAGGCACATCGGAAGGTAGCGAAGGAGATTCAAGCTGAGAAGATTAAGGAGCGAAATAAACAGAAGAAGGATACACTTGAAGCTGTGAAACAATGGAAGAAACGCAAAGGAAACGACGAGCGGGGTGGAAATAAAGACGATCCAGACACTGAGTTGGATATGATTGTCAGTGGCAAGCGAAAGCATCCCAGTGGTGACCGTAATAATGGCAGCAAGAAGCCACGCGTAAATAGAGCACGTGAGGCCAAAAATGCAAAGTTTGGCTTTGGTGGCAAGAAGCGTCATGCCAAGAGTAACACGAAAGAAAGTACCAACAATTTGTCAGCGTTTCCAGGTGCTCGTAAAGCAAAGATGAAAAGTCAAGCAACGGCCAAGGGCGGACAGCGCCCAGGCAAAGCTCAGCGTGCTAACAAACGCAACAAGAGTCGGCGGTGAATGTAATAGTTGGCAACCTCTCGACTAGGCATTCGTAGTGACAGAGTCGGTTCGACTACACTTATTATATAGATGATAGAGCTTTTTACTTCATGAAATGAGCTTTCACTATTATTGCTGACAATATCAATACTTGAATCTCCCTTCTTCTTCACAATCAAAACGAAATATTGTTTTGCTGCATAAAAGCCAGCAACATTTGTCGTTCATTCGGCGGCAGCATATCAAGCTTTTGTGGGGTCATGTCACGGGCAAGTTCTGTAATAGCATCAAATTGTCCAGGTGGTACTGCATCATTTGACTTAGCTCGCTTCGTGGGGTTATTTTCTCCAGGTGCAGGTGTTGGCATCAGTCCTTGTTGCTCACCTGGATGTGGTCTCTTTGTCAAACGCGGATCTCGTCCTACTCTTCGTGGGTCACGATTCGCGAAGGCTGAGTTTAGTGTGGAGGATCCACTAGACTGGGGTGGACCCGAAGGTGCAGGCATCAACCCTAGCTGGGATTGAGCGTGCATAGGACTAGAAGAGGGGACTCCTACACCTTGTCTATTATTCATAGCGCCACTTGCACCTTGAGTGACTAATTGTCCCGGTCGTGCACTCCACCGTGTTCCACCAGGCTTAGCTGGCGCAGGATGTGAAGTCATCATAGCTGGCTGAACACCAGGTGGTGCTATACCCAAAATTCCAGGTCCTGATCCCATAGGCGTACTCATCATTGGACGCGGTGGCGGCGGCATCATTCTTCCAGGTGCCGGTGTAGGATGATGCATCATAAGAGGAGGCGGAGCCAATAGCACTGGTTGTGCCTCGGTAGACGACGGAATAGGAATCTGCAGAGACTTAAAACTCTGTACGATGGCGTGAGTAAGCGCTGGATTTGCCATTAAAATACTTTTCGTCACTTCCGGTTTCTGTCGTGCATGTTCCTTCAACTGCACCAACATGTCGTAGAGCTTAACTGGTCCTAACCGTGCAATAGCCGATTCCATAGCATTTATTGCCATTTCTCCTGTCACGAGCGTTGGCTGTCCACCGTCAGCTCCACTACTTCGAAAATTGCCATTATTAGTTCCAGCACGATTGGTATTGTTAGTGTTCTCCTGCCGCTTCCGGTCTACGGTGCTGGATTTGTCACCACCGTCTGCAAAGTCCACACGAAGGTTTCGCCCGTTGATATCGTATCCATTCAAGTTGCGCATAGCACTTAGTGCTGTGGCTCCATCCGCGTACTCACAGAATCCGTATCCTTTTGGCTTGCCAGTCTCTCGGTCTGTCACGAGGCTACGATGACATGACCCAAATCGACACAAAACGCGTAAGAGTCCTCTTCATTTTCTACGCGCTCGAAGATTCTGACGCACCGAAAGTTAATGACTGATCCAGCTTCAGAGAAGATTTCCTTAAGCATTTCTTCCGTCACATCATAGGGAATGTTACCGACTGATAAGTTTGATATTAGCATCGAATTCATAGTGATAATGAACAAGATGATGGTAACAAAGGTAAAATAAGGAGAGTCAATGTTAGTGGGGGATTCTGGTGCAGATTAGGCTCAAAGATAAATGACAAACCGAATACGCTACGCTCCTTTGCGGAACTCGCACGCGCCTTGTTGTTATTCATGGAGTGAACTTATTTTTTAAAAATTCTAAAAGTGCACATAGTTTAACAAATAGTTTTTTTAATTCACGTTGATGATATACACTGTTCGTTCTTTAAGACGCAAAACAAGCGCAATCTAATTCTTCAGATTGTTATACCTCAAGAAAACACTCTACATCTACTTTAGCAGCGGTCGGATAGATCCGTACATTCCATGGGGTTTGTTCCTAAAGTACTGAATGTATACGAAAGTGCCGACGAGTCTCGCGCTAAATTTTCACGATAGGTAAGAGACACGCCGTTTCATCCAACTTGCAGCTTTGGATCCAGCTACAGTGAAGGAGACGCAAGTTTGGAAGTCGAGTGATGCTTGACTTTGCGAAGTACAAGACTTGCTGTCAACAGTCATTTTAATCTCTTCGAGTCCTATCGACCAATTATTGATCTTGGAAAAAGTTGAGCACAAGATGCAACGCGCTTGCTCTGGATGACCTTACCTATTCTTCCAGAGCGATGAAAGCCAAAAGTGTGTCGTATCGTAAGCATCAAGAGCGTCTGAGCAAACTTGCCAAAGTGAAACCTCAGAGTTCCACAAGCTCTCGAAAGAAAAGTATTCATCCACTTTGCCAGATACTGATTACAGGCCTAGTGACCCGCCGCTCTGCTGTTCGCCCAACATGCAAGCATGTCACTCCCTTAATCATCCAGCAGAAGATACAGATAGCGACTGTAACGAGATCACGCAGAATGATGTGGTTACACGTATATATGAAATTAGTACGTGACCGGAACAGCCTGTAGTTATGCATCTGATTGAATTTTACTATATAAATAGTAAAACCTATACATTTATATATAGGTGGCTTTGCCGCAGAGAAACCCAGAAGTACAGTTAATGATACAAACGGAAGCCTTGAGTTAAGGTTGTTGTTACTCTTGGAGTAAGCGTATTGCGGTCCGCTGAACTCATACTGGGTTCTGAGTATAGAATAAAGGTCGCCGACATTAACTAAGCCTTCTCTAAGCGAAAGCGGTACGGCAACCTCACTGCACTTGTTAGTCGTTCGACTGACCCTCTGTGAGGATGGAGCAGTTGTCCCATTTTTCCCAGGGCATGCAGGACGGGCTTTAAAGGCTCTGTGAGGATAGAGCAGTTGTCTCATTTTTCTCAGGGCATGTAGGACGGGCTTAAGAGGCTGATGTCTCTTCTTGGTCCTGAGGGTGTGCAACACCTCGCTTCACATCCATGTGAAGCGATTTGTGCGCGCCCGGAGGCGATCTCAAGCTATGAAAATGCTCTGGTAGAGCACATACAGTGGAATATGTCAGCGGCAACCGCGTCCATGACGCCACCGCCGACTACGGTTGACCCTCGGACCCAAGCCGCTCATGGTCAATGTTAAGCTCTTCGAAGGCAAGGATGGAAAGAATCTCCTGCTCTGAGTGAGGGGGATCGAGACGGCCATAGCGTTTGCCATGCTCCAGACCGAGCTACAGCGCGTGGCGCTAGTTATCTTCAAGCTCGGGGGTTGAGCGCGAAATTGGCACTGACGTGCGGCACTTCGGTCGAAGAGGTGTTTTTCTCCGGGACGGAGCTGAAGCTGCAGTTTTTAAAAGTGTTTTTGCCGCCAAATCAGGCTTAACGCGTGCGATCGCGTTTACTTATCACCCGACAGGGCAAGAAGAAATTGATGGACTTTGTCCAAGAATTGCGTACTATCATTGCCGGTATGGCAGCCGATCATCTTCATGAGGCGGTAAAAGTGACCGTCATTTTTGAGGGCCTCCGCACTGGCACTGCCAAAATGGAAGTCTTCTGCGTGCGCCCTCTTCTTTTGAAGAAGAAGTGAACGTGGCATTGAATGCGAGGTTAAGCTTTATGTAGGCGCGACTTGGTTGGGATGCACACTCTATCAGCTCGTCGATCGGGCCAGAGCCGATGGATCTCAGCTATGCTGAGGACGAGGAGGTAGAGCTCCGAGCTGCCGAGCAGCGTTTGAACACCCGATGGTGTTTGTCTGTGGAGACATCCGTCACCTTTGGGCTGGATGTCTCCTGCGCAAGGCGAGTCAAGGTTTATCGAACCGACGCCCCGCTTCTTACCTGCCATCTGCTTTGTCACGGGGAAAGGACAGCACCCAGTAGACGCGGTGCGGCCTACTGGGGAAGAATTGAGTTCTGTCGAGCCTGAAGGAGATAGAGGTCAGCAGGGCCCAGTTCCGAAGAGCTCCGTGCTCTTAAACACGAAACGTGTATGCAAGCCGGGCTTGCTGGTCGTGGACGCAATCGTGAAGGTTTTGAAAGGCCATGGAAATCCTGATCGACTCCGGGGTGTCGGGCGACGCTCCACCATGGAAGAAAGTCAGCTGTATACTGAGGGGCTGAAAGCTTGAGTGACACTGTCACTGTTCGCTTAGTGAAGGGGACATATGTCACTGTACCGAGGGTCCTTGTGGATCTCGAGTGTCAACTTTCTTGACTATGATAGTGTGGAGCACTGCTTAGTCTTACTTTGATATGAGGTCATCCTTGGTATGTCATGATGGAAAGGTCATGAGCCATGAATCGACTGGAGGTCGAAGACCTTAGGCGCTACGCGCACGATTCTTTGGTGAGTCATTAATCCACCTCTGCTAAAGAACAAAAAGGCTATTGGCGCGGGCACTGGACCGAGACGGTCATCGTGCTGGGGATCAGAGTATTTGAGTTAGTGAGCACCGGACAGGAGTTCTGAGCATGGCTTGCGAGCTAAACGTGGAGTGGCACCTAGCCCACTGAGCAGCTGCTCAAGTATCGAAGCAGTCGCTGCATGCCATGGGTGCCATCGTTAGCCAAGGTCCGAGGCATCGAGGGCGAGGCCCTAGCGAGGCACGTGGGGTGGCTCGTAATCCACTGAGCACTGATCACGTTTCGAAGCAGTCGCGGCATGCCACGAGTGGCATGGACGGGCGAGGCCCGAGGTATCTTAGGCGAGGCCGCGTGGAGCGGCACGTTATCCACTGGATGAAGACAGCGGAGCTAGCATCTCTTCGTCAGACATTGTTAATATCATCACAGCCCCGGTAGAGTAGGAAGTAGGGCTGACACTGGACGACGCTGAGTGCGTGTTCACACTAGTCTAGCCGTGACGTACAACCTCTAAGAAGAGGCAACGGCGACGCCGTATGCCAGATGCAAGACGCTGGGCGTCGATCCTGACCCAGGATATGTCTAACGTAGACAATAGCGCATAGCTATACACCCTCGTCAACGGTATGACGGGGGGGAAGACGGCGACGTTACCCTCGAGGCAATTCCCGCGGTGGACGCGCTTCTTGAGCTGGACCAGGCGTCCTCTGAAGAATTTGGCGGTGTCTTGAAGGCAGGCGAATTAGCCGAAGTGACCATTATACGACCGGAAGAAGAGATCAGCTCGTCGTCGTTTCTAGATGAAGCTGTCTCGGACGACACTAAGAGAGTGCTGAACGCACGAACTGGATCGTCGATCCTAAAGGATCCCTCGGATCCGTACTACCCTTTCGTCAAGAAATTCCAAGACATCGTCCCCAAAGACCCGCCGTCGGTCAGAGACACATCGGTCTCTTCGGTAGTACAAATCCCAAGTAGGATCCAGCATTCTGTATCACCAAAATAGTTGTGACTTGATCAAAAATGTGACATATGCATGTGGGAGCAGCATACTGTAATCACTTTTCATAAATTCTCACTATGCACACAGGAGGTACCGTCATTTAATAACTAAGTGAAGCTCATTACATCGCTCCCTGGTAATACTTTAGAAGTACGTTAATACTTGTGCAGATGCTTTGGAGCAGCTCACTTTCTGGAGCGATCAAGTTAACGAGCCATCTTTGATGCTTTATCTTCGCCTAAGCGACACAGTACGCTTCCAGAACACTTTGACTTCCCTTTTTTCTTAACCGAGAAGAAGACAAGAAAATGAAACGTATATTTTGCTGGCGTCGGATCAAGAATCGTGATGATCTGACCCAGTCTATCGCAGCTATGCTGGGTGTTTATTTACCTTGAGAACGAGAACAAGATGGAGCGCCTGTTTCGCCGAGTTGGCGCTGTCGGGACTACCAAACACGACCAAGCGAAAACCTCGTAGTGCTTCTAGAGGCACCACTACAAGCGAATATCCTAGCTGCAGACCACGTCGAGCACATAAGACTCTAGGGCCTGACGAGGTTACGACGTGTCCTAGTCCAATGGCTAGCCGCGCTGCCGAACTCTTGAGAGTCGCTGATGGTTCGTTGTGTCCTTCTGCGTTGACGAGTCAATCGATCTCCTTGATCGACAATCGCCTCAACCACAGCGCGCTCTCCACTCGAGGCTAATAGCGGAGATGGGCTTGTGCGTGAAAACGATCGAGCAGCTCTTGAAAAGAGCACTCATCGCAGGCAATACGAGGCATAATGATACGTTGAATGATACTAGCTGATCGCTGCGGGAGCATTTCGAACCTTGTTGCAGAACAGAACTCAATTTTCGACGTTCTGATATTATTGATTTCGCCCAATACTCGGGATTAAAGTTTCGCCCTGAACTACATGTTCAACAAGTTCATGATGATTTGTTTGAATTTGGAGGGACGAGAGGTCTCGTGAGCTGGCTCACAAACACCTGTTGCACTCTGGTGAAGGTACAGACTATGTCCTCAAGGTATACCATATTTGCCTTCAAGTAGAAATCAGTAAATGAACAAACTTTGATATCCTTCAATGCTTCTACGCCGAGAAGAATTTACAGGGTGACAAATCGGTTGCGCTTCGCGTCCAAGTGAAGAAACGTATTGATTTGCTCGATTAACTCAAGTGGAATAATATTGACAGATTCGCTCTGAAGGTACACTTTTTGTCTTCGCACATACATTGTATGATGTAGGTGCGTGCGTGTAGGGATGACTAGGGTATAAGTATCACGATTTCGTTTTAACACTTTGAACGGCTTGGATAACCGTGGTAAAAACTTTTCGCGTTCCAAGATGGATCAGGCAGAATGTATCGTACTTAGTCGTG